TGTATATTTCTAGGCTTTCACAGTTTTGGGTTGTATATTCATAATGATACCATGAGCGCTTTAGGGCGCCCCCAAGATATGTTTTCAGATACCGCTATACAATTACAACCCGTCTTTGCTCAATGGATACAAAACACCCATCCTTTAGCACCTGGTTCAACAGCTCCTGGTGCAACAGCAAGCACCAGTTTAACTTGGGGGGGTGGTGATTTAGTAGCAGTGGGCGGCAAAGTGGCTTTGTTACCTATTCCATTAGGAACTGCATATTTTTTGGTACATCACATTCATGCATTTGCGATTCATGTGACGGTATTGATACTCCTGAAAGGTGTTCTATTTGCTCGTAGCTCCAGTTTGATACCGGATAAAGCAAATTTTGGTTTTCGTTTTCCTTGTGATGGACCTGGAAGAGGGGGGACATGTCAAGTATCGGCTTGGGATCATGTCTTCTTAGGACTATTCTGGATGTACAATGCAATTTCAGTAGTAATATTCCATTTCAGCTGGAAAATGCAGTCAGATGTTTTGGGCAATATAAGTGATCAAGTGGTAGTAACTCATATTACGGGAGGAAACTTTGCGCAGAGTTCCATTACGATTAATGGGTGGCTCCGCGATTTCTTATGGGCGCAGGCATCTCAAGTAATTCAGTCTTATGGTTCTTCATTATCTGCATATGGCCTTTTTTTCCTAGGTGCTCATTTTGTATGGGCTTTCAGTTTAATGTTTCTATTCAGTGGACGTGGTTATTGGCAAGAACTTATTGAATCCATCGTTTGGGCTCATAATAAATTAAAAGTTGCTCCTGCTACTCAACCTAGAGCCTTGAGCATTGTACAAGGACGTGCTGTAGGAGTAACCCATTACCTTCTGGGTGGAATTGCCACAACATGGGCGTTCTTCTTAGCAAGAATTATTGCAGTAGGATAATGGCTAGGAGGATTTGAAAAGCATTATGGCATTAAGATTTCCAAGGTTTAGCCAAGGCTTAGCTCAGACAAATTATTGATATGGAGAAGAAACAGAGAGGTAGCCTTATCATGTGTGATCACAGCCATTGTTCTTCCATAAATAAATTGAACCACAAGCTCCAATAGAACAGTTTTCACAAAAAAAATAAAATAAAATAAAATAAAATAAAATAAAATTGAAGTATAATCTTTAATTTAAGTTCGAAAAATAACCAAGGTACATGAATTAAATTGAAGGTTTATGTGCAATGGCTGCACTTCCCTCTCACGATTTATATATGGTAAAGGGCAAAAATAATAATCATAAGCTTGGAATGTCAAAACTTGTCAACTCTTCGAATTCCATATTTACGAACTCTAAAATCCATAATATGACCTCAAGAACCTCCCAACACCACACAAGATTCAACCTACCAAGGTTTATACGAGAGTAACGCTCAGTTATTAATAATAGTTTGGTTTTTATTCTTATCAAAAAATAAAAATAAAAATAAAAAATACCCAATTTGAAAACACACCTGCAAAAAGTTACAGATAACAAATTGAAAATACCCAAAAAAATGTAATTACTAGTATAATAAATCAATGCTAAACACTTGAACTAGTCTGTTAAAAAGTAGACATTACAAGAGATATGTCCAGATTCTTGATGCCAATTGTGTTTTAAAGGTTTACGGTTTGGAATGATCTTATAGGTTTAGGGGTCAACACTATGTAAATTTAAATCCAATTGATTTAAAGCAATTAATTACAATTTATTTCAATATAGAAGTAATATAGAATTCAGTAAAGAATGGGTTTAATAGACAAGATTACCTACCAAAGGTAGTGTTGAACTTGAACTCATTATCAGATCTTCCATCATCAGATCCACCTCCTTTTCCACCTAATCTTAATGAAGTCAAGAGATTACCAGATCTGCTAGTGTCCCCGGGACTGTCCCAATTTTTGGGTGGTTCAGCACTGAACCACCGAAAGAGCGCATTAAGATTAGGTGGAATGGGAGGTGGAACGGTATGGAGAGGCTTAAATGGTGTAATGGTAACAAAGGGAGAAATGGGTGAAGAAAAACGTCCCTACATAGTAGAGGGAATTGGTAGACAACGGAACCCACGTACAAAGATTAGAGCTTTCACCCTCTTGAATCTCAAGCAGAATGCAAAATAAGGGTTTATCAAGGTTTTGATAATAATAGCCATTGGATCAAATTTGATCCAAAGGCCAAAAATATAAGGGTATATAAAAGGTTGGCGGGGCGCAGTCCAATTGTTATAGCATTATACAGTGGTGACCAAAATTTCATTGGACCACTTTCTAATAAGGTTTGGCGCATAATTATATTGCTTTTAAAACTAATCACAAGGTTTGGTGCATAAGTAGCAATTTTTGCTAAGATAAATAAATTGCAAGTGGGGATGTAAAATTACCTTTTAGTTTGAGGGAGGGTTTTACAATCTTTCAAATTTTTAACTAGTGCTTGACATTGGTCCAGTAACCTCCATTTCACCTAGGTCTATACACATTTTACATTAATCATTTAAAAAAAAAAAAAAAAAAAAAAAAAAAAAAAAAATTCTTGATATTATGTTAATGGCTTATGAAAGAGAATTATTATTATTATCATTTTAATTTTTAGACAACCTAATTATATATATAGCTCACTTAGTTATAAATCACCTCAACTGGTTCAGGTTCAGGTTCAGGTTCATACTCCATGATTTATACTAATTTTATCTCAAATTTTTTATCGCAATTCATTTTAAGGTTTTATAAAAATTTATAAATTTAATATATATCATAACTTATGTTTAATATAGCTAATTTACATCAAAGGTGGGCCTAATACTACAAGCCAAGCTTAAGGCTCTTATTATCATGGCAAAAATATAATGTTTTAGTCTAGTCACATTAGTCGTCACTACAGAAACTTTTGAAACGCATAATTTCAAGTTAAAAACTAGAGTGTGAGATATATATTTTGTAATTGGCTAATTTTGTTGTCAAAATAAGTCCAATTGAGTTGTAAAATTTTGATTCACAATTTCAAAATTGAAGATCGGAAGTAGATTTGAAGAAATTTAAGTGTTCATGCTTTAATACACAATGGATGATGAGAATAATGTTTTAGAAAGGTATAAGAGTGTGTGAAAACATTTTGGAAGTTTTGGAAGGTTGAAACACAACTTTTAGAAAGTTTTTACATTCTGCCCAACTTGAACAGGTTCAATATTTGAGGCTTTGTGGAGATTTTCAAGACTGATCATTTTAAACCGGTTCAACAATCCTGAACCGGTTCAAGAATTAAAAGGATTCTTCAAATTTTACACTTGCCATCTTGAACTAATTCCACTTTCCTGAATCGGTTTAAGGTCTTCAGATAACTTTAGTTTCCTGATCTGTTTTGATTCCTATTTGGTATAGACTTCCTTCCAAAATCCTATGCACGAATTTGACTTGATTTCCAAGTGTTCTTAGGTCTTCCAAACTTTTGTATAATCTTTCTTTCATTTAACATTGAGGCATAACTTTTAAGAACAAAAATTCATTATTTAGAGAGAGCCTTTTGAGATATATTTTTCAGAAAACCAAATCTGATTTTTCTGATTTTATTTTTGAGAGCACACACATAAACACAAGAGTGATTTAATAGTGTTGTTCTCTATCTCATCAGAATTGGAGCATAATTGAAGATTCAGAGATTCCGAAAAGCAGATCTATTTCTTTTACATCAAATTTAGATCTTCAAGAAAAAGGATGAAGTGATTATATTTTGGAAAGGTCAAAGCATTCGAGAAGTGTTGTTTGATCTACTAATAATCCTTCTACAGAGATCAAGAGTAAACCCGGAGTCAAAAGCTATTGGATGGGACGTCGCAAAGCCATATGATTGTCAACAATTATTTTTTGGTAGAATGATAAGGTGTGAACCTGAATCAATGTCCATTATACTTTGTTTCAAATATAATGGATCGTTTTGCTCTGGACTGCACAGTCCATGAGATTTTTCCAACAACAATTAGTCTTTTCTACCAATTAAAATTTCCTCGCTAAAATCCTAGTGTCATCTCTCAAACTTTACTTGTTTTACTTTTCAATATTTATCTTTGTAATTATGAATGTTTAATTAGTCGTATTGCTTATGGGTAAATTAGTCAATCATAAAAATTGGGCAAATTGACCTAATAATTTCATCTGGGTCATTTAGAAAGTTAATCACAATTAAATCAACTAACAGTTTCCGCACTGCATAACTCACATTTGATATCAAAACGAGTTACTCAATATATTGAGTAGATCATATTTGTTGATTTGTTGTAATTTTTCCATCATATCGGATAAGTCATCTTCGGTTGATGTGTTGCTTTTACCTCCTGTTTTTTATTCTGTTACAAACATGCATATTAAGTGGTCTAAGTTTAAAAAAAATTCTAAAAATTTATTGGAGAAATTAAAACTTGCAAAACTTGATAGAGATATTTATAAGTTAAAAATTTCTGCCTTTAATAAAAATTTGAAAGAACTTGACCATAAAAACTTGAATCTTCGTAGAAAACCCAGATTCTAAATGAACAAATTCATAAGGTTGATTTTCTGTAAAAAAAAACTTGAACAGTAAATAGACTTAGTAAATCACTTGATTTAAGTAGTGAGTTTGTTAAATCAAAATTTTGACATTAACACTTGCAAAATTGATAAGTTAAAAGAAATGGTTAATAACACTAGTAGTAACAAAGAATTGGCTTCAACTTCAAAAGATTTATATCTCAAAAACTCTAAAGATATTTTTGTGAAAGTTAAAAACAAATCTTCTGTTATCTCTAATTCTCCAAAATTTGCTTCAACATGTCATTTTTGTGGAGAAAAATATCTGTTGACCTTACGGATTTCATTCAAGGATAATCTATAAATTTTAATGATAACAAAACATTAATGATGTTAAGGATTAAAGTTTACATTGAGTGTTATATAAATTATTCACATTCAAAGAATAGCTCAATGAAGTTATAAAAATCATTCCAAGTATTCCATTATTTAAGATCACATTAAGGAAAGTAATGAATACAAAGAAAACATAAAGTTACAAATAACCAAATGCAAAATCCATCCAAAGACAACCTAGACTACAATGATCATTCCAAGCATTTGTTATTAAAGCCTAATTATAATGGCCCATTTTTTAATAAAAGTTTAATGGGAATGACTTTAGTGTCACATCAGCCCGAACTGGGCCTGGGCCTGGGCCTGGGCCTGGGCCAGCTATGGTCCTTTAGTTACTTACAAAGAAACACGACCAGCCCAGTCCTACCCAAAAGGATCGAAACACAACCAACCCATATTTTATTCGGTTTGGTTGGGCAAGGGACCTACTATTGTCAAAAAAAAAATAATTCCATTACTTGGAGAATTCACCGGGCTTCAAGTTTTCTTCACTCACCTGGAAGGAAATTCTATTCTGATGGTCTTTAACCCATAAAATTACACAAATCAAATCTTAATACCATGCAACAAAAGATATGTTTAAATTGTGCTTAAATTCATCGAACCAACGGGCAAACTTGCACACAAAATAATACAACGTCTATGTTTAAATTCATCTTTCATCTTCAGTCTAACCGACAGGCAAACTTCCACACAAAATAATATAGAATCCAAAAAGAGAATTAAGTTATGTCTTCATAAGTAAATGATAGAACTACAACAACTTACCGAAAAAGCCCCAAAAAGCGATTCCACCAAGAGGTCTTTCCCTGCAGCTCGATCTTTCCCTGCAGACCGATTCTGCAGACTGAAGATGAAAGATGAATTTAAGCACAAGTTTAAATTGTGCTTAAATTCATCTTTCATCTTCAGTCTAACCAACAGGCTAACTTGCACACAAAATAATATATCATCTATGTTTAAATTCATCTTTTATCTTCAGTCTGCAGAATCGAGCTACAGGGAAAGACCGAGCTGCAGTTATCGCTTTTTGGGGCTTTTTCGGTAAGTTGTGGTTCGATTCTCTTTTTGGATTCTGTATTATTTTATCTAACCAACTAGCAAACTTCCACACAAAATAATACATAATCCAAAAAGAGAATTAAGTCATTCCACCAAGAGGTCTTTCCTTGCAGCTCGATTCTGCCAAGAGTGTCTACCATCTGCCAAGAGTGTGTCTACCATCGTTTTCAGTTGCTTTACAGATTCTCCCATGCATTAAAGATTCTTTTGCCAACTTCTTTGATTCATATTCGTCAAGGTAGGTGAGATACATGCCTAAAGACAATCCAGGCACCACTAGAGCTACAAATTGATCCACACCATGGTATCTGTTCCAAGAATAAAATCACATTCAATAGTCAAACATTTCACTAAATAGACAACATTTCTAAGAAGCCAGTCTACCATATATATTATAGGTATCAGGCAAACCTCTATGTCAATAGACAAATTATTGTATGGAGAAGAAACAGTGAGGTAGATTAGAAGAGGCCTTATCATGTGTGATCACAGCCATTGTTCCTCCATAAATAAATTGAACCACAAGCTCCAATAGAACAGTTTTCAAATAAAATAAAAAAAATCAAAATGAAAATCTGAAGTATAATCTTTAATTTAAGTTCAAAAAATAACCAAGGTACACGAGTTTAATTGAAGGTTTATGTGCAATGGCTGCACTTCCCTCTCACAATTTATATATGGTAAAGGGCAAAAATAATAATCATAAGCTTGGAATGTCAAAACTTGTCAACTCTTCAAATTCCATATTTACAAACTCTAAAATCCATAATATGACTTCAAGAAACTCCCAACACTACAACACAAGATTCAACTGACCAAGGTTTATACTAGAGTAATGCTCAATTATTAATAATAATCTGATTTTTATTCTTATCAAAAAAAAAAAAAAAAAATTACCCAATTTGAGAACACAAATGCAAAAAGTTACAGATAACAAATTGAAAATGCCCTGAAAACTGTAATTATAATAAGTCCATGCTAAACACTTGAAGTAGTCTGTTAGAGAGAGATCGCATCCTCTCTGAGTATGATATTAAAGTTGACTGTTGGCTATTATACCAAACTGTTTAGAGGAGCTAGTCATACGATTGGTGACGATCTGATCAGCCCTAGACACACGATGTCGGAGAAAGAGGCTAGAATATCAGCTGCAGGGGTGGCTAGAGTCATTCTTGATGCCAATTTTAAAGGTTTACAGTTTTAATTACCATTTATTTCAATATAGAAGTAATATAGAATTCAGTAAAGAATAGGTTTAATAGACAAGATTACCAAAGGTAGTGTTGAACTTGAACTCATCATCAGATCTTCCATCATCAGATCCTCCTGAGAAATAATAAATTTAGATAATTAATAAATGTATGAACATTATGCCCAGCCTATGTAATAATAAATGCACAGAGAGTGAGGGCTTTGTGGTTTGTCATAGTAGAAGTGAAGAAATTAGCTTGTCCAGACATTTCTGAAGAAATCAAGACCACTGTCAACCATAATATAATATTAAGGGAAAGTTTTGTTATATTAAATCATTATTTAACTACATAAATCAACAAGTGAAATAATAAATCATTATTTAACTATATAAATAACAATGAGGTGAAGAAATTACGAGATCTATTTTGTGCAAAATCATTTCCCGCAATATCACCATTTGGTACATGTCCAGAACCTTCAGAAGAATGCAAGACCGTCAACCAAATATTCAGAAAATCAACTATATAAACAAGTGAAGACATTACCAGAACTAGCAGAATCCTTTCCCCCAGTATCCCTATTTTGGGGTGACTCATGTCCAGACCCTTCTGAAAATACAAGACTGTCAACCAAATATTCAGAAAATCAACTATATAAAAAATAATGAAGTCAAGAGATTACCAGATCTGCTAGTGTCCCCATTTTTGGGTGGTTCAGCACTGAACCAGCGTAAAAGCGCATTAAGATTAGGTGGAATGGGAGGTGGAATGGGATGGAGAGGATTAAATGGTGTAATGGTAGGAAAGGGAGAAATGGGTGAAGAAAAACGTCCAAACATAGGAGAGGGAATTGGTAGACAACGGAACCTACGTACAAAGAGGAGAGCTTTCAGCCCCTTGAATCTCAAGCAGAATGCAATTCAAGGGTTTATAAAGGTTTTGATATAGCCATTGGATCAAATTTGATCCAAAGGCCACAAATATAAGGGTATACAAAAGGTTCGCGGGGCGTAGTCCAATTGTTATAGATACAGTGGTGACCAAAATTTCATTGGACCACTTTCTAAGAGTAATGCTTGGGTTCTGCCTTCTCAGGCCAAGAATTGTTCTCCATGCTGACGTGATCTAATCAGAATTTGCCACATCTCCATTGCATTAAAAGATATAAAACATGGGTATAACCCATTTAACCGGCCCATTTTAATTTCTCTCTCCTTGTTTCTCTCCCATCCTGTATGTTTCCCTTTCTTTATCAGATCAATCTCCCATCTCCCAATGTATTGCCCTCACCAGAGACGGAAGCTCACGAACTAGAAAAGTAAATCAGAGATGATGCAATTTGCAGAGTTTGTAGAATAGCATCAGTGAAGCTGTAGAAGAGAAGCAGAAGATAAACCCTAATCTCAAGGCAACCAATTGTCTCCACAGAACCAGGTACTTCATCCATGATGATCTAAATCTACTTCTGCAATTCACATGAATTTGATGATGATGATTCAATCTCCCTTTCTTAAAACACATCCTCACCCTTCAATTTAATTCTTCTCCTCAACCTCTGCCTGCTACCCAAATCTGTCATCAAAGAAATTATATATACTTTATAGTTGTGTATAAATTATATGCATATATTTATATATACGTATATGACCCAAAATTAGTCAGAAAAAAAAAAAAAAAAAAAAAAAAAAAAACGATGAGAAAGGACATAACATGGTTAAAGGGAGGATTTTTATTTATTTATTTTCGTTTATGCATTATAATGAATTCATGTTCCTTCCTTGAAGGTTAGAAATTTACCCTTGTTTTGATCTGAAAATTTTACCCTTGTTTTGTTTCTCTCACATCATGCTCGGATCTCCATGTTACATTATTGCCTCCATTCACAAATCCAAACTCTAGGAAGCAACCCATTGATTTCAGACAGTGTTCTTGTTTTAGCAAGGATTGATTGGCATTTTTCGAAGTAGGTATGTTCAAACATTATATTTTTCAATGCAAATTATTTTTTCTGCTTTCAAAAAGCTTAAATCAAGTATGGTTATTGTTGAATTTTTGTTCAAAATGAGTTTAATTCAAGCTTAATTATGTTTAAAAAAAAATTACGTATTCAGTGACTAATGCAGGAGATGGATTACATAGGCTTAAGCAGTGAGCCATCGAATAGTTGTGAAGTTGATATGGAAGATGATTGTCCTTCTCCTCCTAATGAGTGTTCCTCAAAAAAAGAAATTCAATAAAAAAAGGATGAACCAGAACTTGGAATGGAGTTTAGTTCAGATGAGGACGCATACCAGTTCTACCTCAACTATGGTAGTAAACTTGGTTTTGATGTAAGGAGAAATCATCACAGGAAAAATAAAAATGGGATTATTACTAGGGTTACCTTTTGTTGCTCAAAGAAGGTAAAAGAAGAGAGAATAGAAGAAAAAATCCTTCCTACCATCAACCCATAACTAGAGTTGGTTGTTAGGCTCAAATGACTTGTCTACTTCAAAATAATGGAAAATTCAAGGTTGTGTCATTAAACAAAAGTCATAATCATGACTTGGTTAGAACCCCCATGAAACATATGTTGAGAGTTAATCGAAGTATTTCTAAGGCTCAAAAAGCACATACTGAAGATGCAGACAGGTCGGGATTACCAATAAAATCATCTATAGAGTTGATGAGCAGAGAAGTTGGGGGGAGAGAGAATCTTAGTTTTCTAGATAAGAATTACCGAAATTACATATATAGAAAGCGAAATATGGCAATGGAAAAAGGTGATGCTGGAGCTATATTAGAGTATTTTCATAATATGCAGCTGAGGAATCCATCATATATTTACTCACTACAACTTGATGTGGATGATATGATTACTAATATTTTTTGGGCGGATTCACGCTCAATTAGTGATTATGGACTTTTTGGAGATGTTCTGTGTTTTGACACTACTTATCGGACAAATGAATATGGTCGACCTTTTGCACCATTTATTGGGGTGAATCATCATAAGCAAACAGTCTTATTTGGTGCAATTTTACTTTATGATGAAACCACTGCATCATTTAAGTGGTTGTTTGAGACTTTTCTTGGTGCAATGTCTAGAAAACAACCTAAAACGATTCTCAATCTGCTGCAATGGCTAAAGCAATATCAAAAGTATTTTTTGAATCTCAACATAGGCTATGTGTTTGGCATATTTATCAAAATGCCGCGAAGAATTTGAGCCATATATTTCATGCATCAAGCCAATTGCTCATGATTTTGGCAAGTGTGTGTATGATTATGAAGATGAAGATGAATGGCTATTGGCATGGGAAAGTATGTTGGATAAATATAGTTTCAAAGAGAATAAATGGTTGAAAGAGTTATTTGAAGTAAGAGAAAAATGGGCAATGGTTTATGGACGACACACTTTCACTGCTAACATGAAAACTACTCAACGTAGTGAGAGCATGAATAGTGTGTTGAAGAATTACTTAAAGCCAAAGCTTAATCTTTTACTTTTCTTGGAGCATTATGAGAGGGTTTTGAATGATCGGCGATATGAAGAGCTATTTGCAGATTTCAAGATGATGCAAAGCATGCCTGATTTGTTAACTAATGTGGAGACTTTATGTCATGGTGCATAAATTTATACTCCAAAAATTTTCAAATTGTTTCAGGAAGAGTACATGAGGTTGGGTGATTACAATATATACAAAGTGGCTAAGGAAGGGTCAAAAGTTGAATACAAAGTATCTTGTGTTAGAAAATCTCGAGAACATGTGGTTAAATTTGATGTTCCAACACAAACAATCACTTGTAGTTGTATGAAGTTCACTTTTATTGGAATTTTATGTGTTCATGCATTGAAAGTGTTGGATAAGAAAAATATAAAAAGGATTCCATCTCAATATATCATGAAACGATGGACAAGAGATGCAAAAGTAAGGACTATCACCAACTATCATGGAATTGCTGCCAGTGACAGTCCTATGGTGTCTGTGGGAAAGCGTTATAGCCATTTGTGTCGAATTTTTCATGAAATTTCATCTTTAGCCTCAGAACACGAGAAATTATATACATATGCAAATGAGCATACTCTTGTGTTGCTTAATGGCTTAGAGGAGATGAAGAAAGAAATTTTCTTAAGCGGTGCTGAAAGTTCAGTTTGTCAAAATGAGGAAGGTGAAATGGTAGCTCCATGAAATGATTGTATGCCGATAGGGGTTAAAAGAAAAGCCACAGTTGGATGCCCACGTAGTCGACTATTAAGTGCCCTTGAACGACGAAAAAAAAAATCGTCTCCCAAAGCCACCAAAGTTTCAACAAGACAACAAAATGCCACACAAGTTTGCTTTGAAACTTTGTAAATTAATTAAATGTGTTATTTTTATTGTACTTATTTTCTTTTATTTTCACTACATTATTTAGGAGCCGGTTTCCCGTGTTTATAATTTACAAGAGCAACAAGCTGGAGCTGGACATGGAGTTGTTCAGCAAACATTTGATAATTTGACTCAAGTAATACACTTTTGATTTGTCTTTCTATGTTTCTCTCTACATTTGATAAATTTTGGTTTTTACCCATTCCTTTTCCTACAACATGATTTCTCTTTTAAAATCATTGTTCACAGAACTTGTAAATTAATTAAATGTGTTATTTTTATTGTACTTATTTTCTTTTATTTTCACTACATATTTTAGGAGCCGATTTCCAGTGCTTATAATTTACAAGAGCAACAAGCTAGAGCTGGACATGGAGTTGTTCAGCAAACATTTGATAATTTGACTCAAGTAATACACTTTTGATTTGTCTTTCTATGTTTCTCTCTACATTTGATAAATTTTGGTTTTTACCCATTCCTTTTCCTACAACATGATTTCTCTTTTAAAATCATTGTTCACAGAACTTGTAAATTAATTAAATGTGTTATTTTTATTGTACTTATTTTCTTTTATTTTCACTACATATTTTAGGAGCCGATTTCCAGTGCTTATAATTTACAATAGCAACAAGCTGGAGCTGGACATGGAGTTGTTCAGCAAACATTTGATAATTTGACTCAAGTAATACACTTTTGATTTGTCTTTCTATGTTTCTTTCTACATTTGATAAATTTTGGTTTTTACCCATTCCTTTTCCTACAACATGATTTCTCTTTTAAAATCTGTGTTCACAGAACTTGTAAATTAATTAAATATGTTATTCTTATTGTACTTGTTTTCTTTTATTTTCACTACATATTTTAGGCCCCGATTTCCAGTGCTTATAATTTACAAGAGCAACAAGCTGGAGCTGGACATGGAGTTGTTCAGCAAACATTTGATAATTTGACTCCAGTAATACACTTTTGATTTGTCTTTCTATGTTTCTCTTTGCATTTGATAAATTTTGGTTTCTAACCATACCTTTTCCTATAACATGATTTCTTTTTTAAAGTTTGTGTTCACAGAACTTGTATCATATTGGCCATGGAATGCCCTCAGGGATGCAGTCAGTGATGAACTTTAATGAAAATTGGCTATCCAATATGACTTGCACACAATTACTTCAGGTAAATATGCCCTTTTAGCAATACTTCAGTCACTTAATTTGCTGTAGACCTTTTATTTATATTAACTTTCTCATTATTATTGTTTTATAATGCATGTAGGAATCTATAAAAACATTATGGTAGCCTTCCACAAAGCACAGAAGAAAGCAACAACTTATGTCAAGATAACTTGTCGGGATAGGATTTGCTGAAGTGTTGGTGACATTATGAAGATACCTTATTTAAATCAAATAGACATTTTTGCTCTTTTGCTATATTGATTTGCTACAATTTTAAAGGCTCAAGTCTTGGTTTATTGTATTTGCTATATCATGTACTCTGTTCATCTTTCTCTATTGGTTCGGCTTTTTTTTTGTGATGCAAATTTATGTCTTTAGTTTGATGTCTTGGGCAAAATGAAAAGTGTAATACACATTATCTGGAGTAAAAATTATTTACAAAATATAAATTTATTAAAATGAAACAATGATGTACAGAAAAATGCATGACAAATCTCTCTGGTGTAGAAAAAAAAAGCTTCCCACAGGGAAAAAAAGCAGCAGCTTCCCACAATAATATAAACTGCAGTAACATGGTCTCTCCTTGCCCATAAATTGGGTAAATGCAGAGCACTCACTGCAAGTAGCAAATTGCAACTTAGCAAATAACACATTGAATTATTGTTGCAATCATCTCCTCGTTACCTTATCACAACAGCCATGGCCTTAAAATCTCTCCTTTTTGTTTGCCTCTTGGTTGCTACAATAGCAACCCCAATTGCCAAAGCAAAACTTGGAATTGTCATCAGTCTCCTTCGATTTGATAAGCAACAATGACTTTTTTTACTTCAACAGGAGATCATACACCATCAGATTATGTTCTAGATATATTATTCACACCAACAGATTAATAATTTCACACACATTAATATTGCTCAAACCCCTCCAAGTGAGTCCATAAAGAAAGCAGAATGGCAAATCTCATGGGTCACTATGTTGAAAACAGGATAAAATTACAGAGAGAAGCTCATAGTGCTGCTTGTAAACCAGTTGTAAAATGCCATTGACCTCTTGATTGATAGCATACACAGGGCTTCCAAATGGCGTAGGTATGTAACATCAGACTCTAAGCCACCCTGCACCCAACTATCACACCTTCACTAGTGCGTTTATATTTCTTATTGTTGTCATCCACCTTCTCCCTACAACGCCCACCAAACCCACCTGCAATCCAGCAGCAAAAAATAATAATTAAAAAAAAAAAAAATAGATAGAGAGAGAGAGAACAGAAAAAGAGGTTTTTAAAGTTGCAATATAATTTAAATTCCATAGCTGACATTCATCTTAGATTCTTGAACAATCCTACAACTAAAACTCTAGCAAGCAAACCAATAGAAAATTACTGGGCAAACATGTCATAGCTAACTTGGGCTATAATTGTTTTGATGACAGATTTGGATAGCAGGCAGAGGTTGAGGAGAAGAATTAAATTGAAGGGTGAGGATGTGTTTTCAGAAAGGGAGATTAAATCATCATCATCAAATTCATGTGAATTGCAGAAGTAGATGTAGATCATCATGGATGAAGTACCTGGTTCTGTGGGGACAATTGGTTGCCTTGAGATTAGGGTTTCTCTTCTGCTCCTCTTCTACAGCTTCACTGATGCTATTCTACAAACTCTGCATATTGCATCATCTCTGATTTACTTTTCTAGTTCGTGAGCTTCCGTCTCTGGTGAGGGCAATACATTGGGAGATGGGATATTGATCTGTGATAAAGAAAGGGAAACATACGGGATGGGAGAGAAACAAAGAGAGAGAAATTAAAATGGGTCGGTTAAATGGGTTATACCCATGTTTTATATTTTTTAATGCAATGGAGATGTGGCAAATTCTGATTGGGCCACGTCAGCATGAAGGACAATTTTTGTCTTGATAAGGCAGGACCCAAGCATTACTCACTTTCTAATAAGGTTTGGTGCATAATTATATTGCTTTTAAAACAAATCACAAGGTTTGGTGTATTAGTAGCAATTTTTGCTAAGATAAATAAATTGCAAGTGGGGATGTAAAATTACCATTTAGTTTGAGGAAGGGTTTTACAATCTTTCAAATTTTTAACTAGTGCTTGACATTGGTCCAATAACCTCCATTTCACCTAGGTCTATACACATTTTACATTAATCATTTTTTTTATAAATATTTTCTTGATATTATGTTAATGGCTAATGAAAGAGAATTATTAATATTATCTTTTTAATTTTTAAACAGCCCAATTATGTATATAGCTCACTTAGTTATAAATCACCTCAACTGGTTCAGGTTCATACTCCAATTTTTATTCTAATTTTACTTCAAATTGTTTATTGCAGTTCATTTTAAGGTTTTATAAATTTTTTTTATATATTTAATATATATCATAACTTATGTTTAATATAACTAATTTACATCAAAGGTGGGCCTAATACTACAAGCCAAGCTTAAGGCTCTTGTTTTCATGGCAAAAATATAATGTTTTAGTCTAGTCACATTAGTTGTCACTGCTAAGTCCTATAGAAACTTTTGAAACTAATAATTTCGAGTTAAAAGCTAGAGTGTGAGATATATATTTTGTAACTTACTAATTTCGTTGTCAAAACAAGCTCGATCGATTTGTAAAATTTTGATTCAGAATTTCAAGATTGAAGATCGGAAGTAGATTTGAAGAAATTCAAGTGTTCATACTTTAATACACGCTGGATGATGAGAACAATGCTTTAGAAAGGTATAAGAGTATGTGAGAACATTTAGGAAGTTTTGGAAGGTTGAAATGCAACTTTTAGGAAGTTTTTACATTCTGCCCAACTTAAACCGGTTCAATATTTGAGGCTTTGTAGAGATTTTCAGGATTGATTATCTTAAACTGGTTCAACAATCCTGAACCGGTTCAAGAATTAAAAGGATTCTTCAAATTTTACACTAGCCATCTTGAACTGATTCACTTTCCTGAACCAGTTTAAGGTCTTTAGACAACTTTGGTAACTTTAGTTTCCTGATTTGTTTTGATTCCTATTTGGTATAGACTTCCTTCCAAAATCCTATGCACAAATTTGACTTGATTTCCAAGTATTCTCAGGTCTTCCAAACTTCTGTATAATCTCTCTTTCATTTAACATTGGGGTATGACTTTTAAGAACAAAAATTCATTATTTAGAGAGAACCTTTTGAGAGATATTTTTCAGAAAATCAAATCTGATTTTTCTGATTTTATTTTTAAGAGCACACATATAAACATAAGAGTGATTTACTAGTGTTGTTCTCTATCTTATTGGAATTGGAGCATAATTGAAGATTCAGAGATTCCGAAAAGTAGATTTATTTCTTCTACATCAAATTTAGATCTTGAAGAAAAAGGATGAAGAGATCACACTTTGGAAGGGTCAAAGCATTTGAGGAGTGTTGTTTGATCTACTAACAATCCTTCTACAGAGATCAATGTGATACCCCTCGATTTTAGAGCCACGGGTGATTAAGTCCGAGTATAGATCTGAGGGATACCAAACAATTAAGTATATAAACAAGCATTTGATTACAAAAGAAATAGCTAAGAACAAAATAAAATAGCAGAAAATAAAACTAAATAATAAATCCTTAAATTAATAAATAATTAGTCCTCTAAGTGAAAAATCCAAATCATTTAATATCATTACAACTCGAGAATCCATCTAGTGGACCCATAATGATATCCTAACTGAAACAACTGAAAAACATAACCCGAAACTAAAACATAAAGAGAGTCCTACGTAGAACCGGAAGACTGATGTGGAATGGCTTTGCTCAACATGAACAAGCTCTATGTCTGAAACTGACGAACACCTGAAAAATAATAATGAGTCAGGCCTACGAACAAGTTCTTTCTACGACCACCCAAACAGAGACTGAAAAAACTATATATCTATAGTCAACCCATGTAATAACTACATAGTCTATAAGTACATATACACACTAAAGGAACCTCACTAAACTTTAGGGTTGCCTTAACCTAAATAGTAGACAACATGCAAAACGCACATATAGTGGGCATGAGTACCTAGACCTACTAGGGCACACAACCACACTATATTTAGCTACACATCCCTGGCAATATACGCACCCTATCCACTGATCCTAAGACTCAAGCTCATATCATGGCATATGTCTGTATATATATAAAATATATTCTATCCAATCTAAAGTAATCCACTATGTATCATCCAACTTGTTCAGTTGACCTAACACAAATATAAGTAGGACTTAACATTTTAGTCAATCTGTTCCCTTATAAAATAGGTAGGACTTAACTAATAAGTTAATCTATCCCTAGAGTGCCACCATCCCATACTGGTGCACTACATCTACACAATCCAATAGTTGATATAACAATTAAATAAGTACATCTAATAACTCAGAAATAAAAATAATAATATAATATCATGTTATCACAAAATAGGAATGATTTATAATTTATTTAAGCTTCCTACATCACATAACCTACATAAAATGAATCTTAAACATGCTGATATTTTACTATACAGTCAAGTAAGCATCCTCCAAATATAATTCATGTTACACATTTAATCTTAATTGTTAGAAAAAAATAAAAATTAAATCCATTCATTCCTCAAAGAATCAAATAGCATGCATTGTTATCTTTAAGTTTGTTTAGAACTTATTTAAACCCATATCTAGTCCTTATTTGATGTTTAGGATCCCTCAAATTTAGTTAAAATTAAATCAACGCTGTTTACGAAACTTCTCCAAGTAAGGCTCGAGCTTTACATCAATAGCTCGAGCTTTACGTCCAAGGCTCGAGCTTTTCACCAATAACTTGAGCTTTTCTTTCCAGGCTCGAGCTTTTTATCTATGGCTTGAGCTTTGCCTCCAAGGCTCGAGCACTGCATCAGCGAATCAAAAATTGTTTACCCGATTCAACCCTAGAATTCTACTGTGAACCCAATCTTTATTGTTTAAGGATTTTAAAGCATGTTTCTAAGTTCCATCAATATACAGATATGAAAATAAATCATTTAAAACATGTAACAATTCATAAAGAAATCAAATCAAATCTCTGAATTTATCAACTCATACAACAAAAACAACCATGAAATATAATTTATAAAATCGATGTTCTAAATCAATTAAATTATAAATTCTAATTTTAATTGTTCTTTACATAACCCTAAGATTATACTAGAGATATATATTTCACAGATCAAAGGAGAAGTGTAAGGACCCAAGTTTTTCAACCCGGTGCGTTAGTGATGACCCGTAAGTTAATCAAGCAACGGATCCGAATTGTGAAAACAAAAGATAAACCAAGGCCTCTAGGGATATAAATCATTCCTAAGACACCAATGTGACCCTCTTTGAAGTCACGAAACTTAAGGAAAGTGAAAGAACAAACGAGAGTCCATAATGAGCGAATTTCATTTATTAAGGGTAAAATGGTCAATTTACAACTAAAAAGGTAAACTTGACTCTAAACAAGTCAAATAAGGTCCACACAACCTAAACAAATCATTTCATAACATTCCAAGAGGTTCTAAGAATTTTGGACAAAAATCCCACAAAATGCCTTTTTTTGGTTTAAGCGAAAACTGATACCCTCTCACTAAAACCTAAATAACTCCCATTTTGATTTGAATCTGAGAATGGGATTGGTATCATTGGAAAGCTGACTCAAAATTCTTGAGTTTAGGCTCAAGAATCACCCCATTTAGGTTAGAAACAAAGAAATTATGGCCATTTGAAGTCGGAACTACAGGGCTGATACAAAACTGAAGGCAGCTGTGTATAGGAGCTATTTTGGTCGACCGAAATAAAGTTTCGAACGACCGAAACTGGCAGAAACTTTTCAAAAACCTGATTTTTAAGAGTGGGACACTTCGGTAAACCGACATAAGCCATCGGTCGACCAAAATAGGCCATCGGTCGACCGAAATGACCCTGAACAGTGGAAAAGGCTATTGGAAATGATGATTTACTGTGCAATGAAGTTCCCAAAAGCTATCGGTCGACCGAAATAGAGTTTCGGACGACCGAAACATCTCAAAAAGCTGCTGCAAGGCTAGGAAAAAAGGTCCTTCGTCCAATCCTAAGGTTGTGCATGCATCCCATATGATCCATACATGCTTAAAAACATTTCTTAGCCTCAAAAGAGCATCCCTAACATGCTAAAACAAAAGGGAAGTTAAAACCTACTCTAGTGCATGAACTTTTTATAAAAATCCATAATTTATCCATAATTAGTTCAAAAGTCAAAACTTAAGAGTTTTGTGAGATGTGAGTATGCATGTAAATGTAAAATGATGTAGTAGAAGCGCTACAATGACCTACGGCCTCTTTGCAACCCAATTACAATTTTTGACATGCCAAACCCCTAATTTTCACAATTGGTTATATTTGCAATACTTGAAATTTTTGTACATGCTTGCGAACATCAAGTTAATGGCCCTTGGCCTCATGTTGTACACTCAAAACAAGTATCAAAAAGTGTACTTAGGTACACATTACATATTTCAAGGCAAAAATAACATTTTACACCAAAATGATACTATATGCTAACACTTGCATGTTTTCAAAAATACAACAAAATACTTCTAAGGTATCAAGGAAACTTAGGGATGTGATACATCCCAAATTAAAGTTTCTTTACTTGCAAAATAACCCAAACAACTAGAGTGAGTAATCAAGTTACTCGTAGGATGTGGTG